CGTAGGTGGCTGGGCCCATACAGCCTTAGTAGGGAGCTCGGCAGCAGCGTAGATCGCCTCGATCTCCTGCTCGTACTGCTGCAAGCAGGCGTTGCGGGAAACAGTGCCCTTCGCAGTCCTGATCAAAGGCTTCTTCTTCGTACCGCTCACAAGGATGAACTCCTTAAAGATGCGCGAGTGCTGCGGTGCGAACGCGTTCGCTTTCTCGATGTCGGGCCAGATGAGGTTGCGGAAGTTGGCGAGATCTTCCTCCGTTTTGATAGAGACGGTCTCGACGGGCTCGACGATCAGCCCGACCTGGGTACGCGCACGGCCAAACATGACCGCCGCGCGGACATAGATGTTGCTGTTGATGATGTTCTCTGTAAATGCATATAACGTCAGTACTCCGTGATTACTGCGGAGGGCGGACGAACCAATAGGCCCGAGATTCGTCTTTTCCCCATTAGACATCATAATCTGGTCATCAGCGCGTCCTATGATCTTCCAGTACCCCGGCTTAGTAGGATGCGGCTCGAGCAAGTCGTTCGTGTCAAATGCGCCCGGCTCGGTAAACACTGAGGTCCCGTGCTTGTCCGTGTCCTTCGCTCGGATCAGCCTCTTTTCCAGAGAAAAGAACCGTGGTAGAGACGTACCCGTATGACGAGCTTATAGCTCCCGTTAACATCGGGAACCATGATATAACTCAAATCGGAGGAGAAAGTGGAGTACTAGGACGATCAGCTGCGCCTCAGCGGTAGATAGGAGGGAGGACTAACGCTCCACTCTGTGCCTGTCAAAGGATTTTTAGGGACAAGCTTGAAGATGAGCCCGGCTTCTGTCAAGCCGAAGGTGTTGACGATATTGACCCCGCTGGCAACGAGATAGTCGCCTTTTTCCTGCGGGAGGGGGCCGCCGCCGTACAGCTGCAATTCGGTCATGTATGTATCAGCACCTGCTAAGATAAACAAGGGGAAATAGACGCACAACGCCTTTCATTGTGGCGAGGAACCTCACCGCTTCGGGATCTTCCGCCCACTCGACACAGAAACTCGGCACAGTAAGCATATAATCCGCCTTGGCCCTCCTGGCCGTAGCGAGCACTCTGTCCGGTGTGGGGAGTTTCGGCGGGTCCGAAGGCTTGAACATGAGTGCCACACTCCCGGAGCAGATAGGGAAGCCGACGGAGACCGCTACCCCCATTACGTGGAATATGGGAACCGTCATCGTCGCCCACGTCGAGCCGCAGATATCGACGTCTTCGTACCAGATTGTACAGCCCCAAGAGATCCAGACGCGGTGTGCGATAGGGATGGGTTTGGGGAAGGAGTTGGAGCCAGAGGAGTGGAGGATCCATAGAGGCGTGTTGGGGGTATAGTTTGCGTAGGTTGCGAAAGAGCGCACGGAAGGGAGGGAGGGGGTGATGCCCTTGTCTGAGGAAGGGTCGTAGGGCGCTGGGGGGAACTGAGCGAGCCGCGGGTACAGGTTGGAGTACCGCGGTGCGTCTATTAGCGTCAGGCCAGGCAGTTTCTGGAGAAGCATAGAGGTCGCTTCCTGCAGAGTGCTCTACTGAACCCCTTTAGCAGGGATGGAGCCGACGGTGTATTGGCAGTCGGTCTTGTTGATCAGATGCTCCAGAGCGGAGATCGGGTTCCTCACACTGAGGGGGAAGGCCTAGATCACTGTTAGGTGCTTCCGAAGGACAAGGAGGGATGAGATGGTGATATGGACGAGGACGTACGGTAAACCCGGCGCGGACGATAGCCATGAAGATCGTCACATATGCTAGGCTGTCAGTGTTCACCAGAATAGCGATAACAGGCGGTTTGCCAGAGATTTGCTTATCCGGGACTATCTGGCGGAACTTGGAGGCCAAGCGATATACCGCGCGTGCAACTATATCCCTCAGTGGGGCCCAGAAGCATGCGAAAGGAAGACAGACCTTCACCCTAGGTGATGGAGACGTTCTCCTCTCCCTCGTTTTCTCCCACCAGCACTGCATAAGGGTGATCATGACTCCTTTCGATATGCCAGTCGATCCAGTCGGGGAAGATGAGCGACCCGTCTTGTGGAGGGGCGGTGAATGTGGTTGAGGTAGCCGCTTGGACTGTTACGTAATCTGCAGGGTAGAAGCCCATCGGTGCACGTTATGTTGGCCGGTGTCAATGAGTATCGTCAACGTCGTTCGCGTCGTAGTCTAGTTTTATGGTGGGATAGAGTGAAGTGAGTTCGTGGTTCACACAGGCAGGTCAAGCAAGGCCTGATAGTTTTATACCTGTTGGCGGGCAAGGGCTGCCATACCATGCGCATCGTGTCACGCTTGGCTCGGTTGAGATATGTATTCGTCGGCTAGGAGAGGAACAGTTGCTATATTGTGGCGGTACGGGACGGCGAAGGATCAATGGGAGATGAGGGGCATGCTTGGTCAGCACCGATTGTGGAGGAAACCGATTTGTCAGCCCATTGTGTTGTCTCTGTACAGTTTATCAGTAGCCGTACGATGTGCAGGGTATAACAGGCACACCTATATGCTCCCAATGGGTGGTGACAGTAATCCCAGCAAACCATCCTTGTCCTAATTATCCAACCTGGGCCGTGACAAGGTATTGTCCTGCTCATAGATACCTCTCGGACACAACGGAGATGTCGGGAATCGCGGAATTTCGGATTCCACATGGGAGAGGATTGGCTGATGATAGTGTTGGTATGTATGTCATGCCCTCACGGGAAGACAAGGATAATCACACCGGCGATCCTCGTTAAGAGTAGAGATCGATGGAAAGACGCAGAGCACAGAACAGCCTCATGAGAGCGAGGGTATCCAGTCGCTGTCTGGCCAGAAAAAATACCGACAGCTGGGGGCAATTCTGAGAGACTGCAGAATAGCAAGTTACTCCGACATGTTGGTTATGTCGATGCTGTAGCTTTACAAGTCGTTTGAGATGTCAAGTGTATGGAAAGCCGATAGTGCGAGGTTCGATTTCACGGGCATTTGCCTCCTTTTTCGCGCGCCACGCATCGGACCCCAATTTGTAGTAAAAAAAAAGGGATGATAATTATGTAAGAGCACCTAACCCGAAGTAACCCTAACCTGAATAGTTCATAAACCTTAACCTGAAAATGATATAACCCTAAATAATAGAAACATTAGTAGTAGTAACAGTCATAGTCATAGTCATAGTCATAGTAATACTCAATACTACTTCAGTCTTGTAATAATGTCAGTATTACTGTACCTGCATGATCATATGTGATTTGCTTCTGACTTAGGGTCTGGAGCAGAAGCAAACAAAGATGGTTCCATTAGGGTATTGGCCTGTGGCAGGTGTCAGGGTACCAGCTCATTGCTTGGTCAAGAGATGACTAAGCCTTTATGACATGGAAGTAGCTGGTATACCTTGGCATGTGCTGGAACCTGCTGGAAGGATTGGATGGTCAGGTGACCTGCTGTGCATGGCTGTGCATGACCTCATATGACCTCATCCTTGGTCATATGACCTGATCACCTGACTAGGCTGAGTAAGCAAGATGTTCTAGCAGGTTCCACCACAGAGGTATAAATATAAGGCCTACTCTGCCTGGGGACTGTCTCTTCAG